CCAGGGCAGGTCCCAGTGTGGCCGTCTGCGGGGGGCTCTCCTCCGCCAGGGTCCCGGGCCGCGCCAGGCAGTGGCTGGGGTGGGGGCTGCGGGGGTAGCGCCCAGGGGGCCGGGCACAGGGCTCCTCGGAGGGCCGCACGTCGTAGCGGTCGGCGGGAGTCTGGGGGCGCCCAGGGATGGGCCTGCTGCCCCGCCTGGTCCCCCCGGGGGCGATATCTACCCTCCCCACAGGGGTGTGGGGCCGGGCCAGGCTGGACCCTGCCTGGACCAGCAGGGGGAGATCTTCGCAGGACGCAGCCAGCTCAGGGGCTCGAACCCTCCCGGAGGACGCCCCTGCACCCCCCTGGCCCCCCCGTGCCCCCCTGAGCTCAGCGGGGGTGGGGGGAAGGGAGTAGGAACGGGAGGAGCGGACGTGGGACTGGGCAGCTGCAGAGGGCTCCCAGGGGGAGGGGGTCTCCAGGGGGGGCTGTTCGGACTCAGGGGGGGGTGGGGAGGGTCTGGGGGGGCCGGGATGGGGGCGTTTGGCTGCCGAGGGCTCCTGGCCCCGCAGAATGCGGGACGAGAGAGAGCTGGGGGAAGAGGAGCAGAGATGAAAGGGTTAATCAGGCGGTGAGGTACCCCTGCCCCCCCACACACAGCGCCCCCTTCTAGAGGAGGCCAGGGCGAAAGACTCTTACCTTAGCCCCTGCAGCTCCCCCCCGAGCCCTTCCCCATTGACCGGGCTGGGGGGTGGGGCAGGGCCGCTGGGCAGGGGCCCCCCCTCGCCCTGTGCCCCCCGGCCCGTCGCAGACAGACTCTCTGCAGACGAGTGGGGCCCCGAGAGCCGGGCGATTTCCAAGGACTCGACGCTTTTGGTGAGACCCAGGTCGGGCGTGAGCGGCCGGAGGTCCTCGAAGAGACGGGCCTGGGGGGGCACCGGCCGGCTGAGCAGCTGGGGGGGCCGGCTGCTGCTATGGGGTGAGAGACAGAATAGTTACTCCACAACCCAGGAGTCCTGGCTCCCAGCCCTCCCCTCCATATTTTAACCACTAGACCCCACTCCCTTCCCAGAGCTGGGGAGAGAACCCAGGAGTCCTGGCTCCCAGTCCCCCCGATCTAACCACTAGACCCCCCCCACCCCTACATGGTGCTGGGATCACTCTCGGCCGCAGCGGACTGGCTCATGGCTCGGATCCAGCCGTTCATGTCCTCCTGGGTGTCCGCGCTGAAGTGGTATGTCCGCATCCCCCGGTGCTCGGCCTGGGGCACAGATGGGGGGGGAACCAGTTAGCGGGGAGGGGCCCTGACCGTCGGCTCCAGAGAGCCCCCCCCCCCCCCCCCAACCCCCCCCCCCCCCCCCCCCAGCTGGGGGAGAGCCCAGGAGTCCTGCCTCCCAGCCCCCTCCCATTCTAACCACCAGCCCCCACTCCCCTCCCAGAGCTGGGGAATAGAACCCAGGCGTCCGGGTGTCTCCAAGTGGGGGACCCCAAATGGGGTACCTGGGGGGGGCGCTCTGACCAGACCAACTCCCCCCGGACTGACCTTGAATGTGAATCTTCGGCTCTTCCCCTCCCCGGGCAGCGGCCGGATCTCATAGCTGGGGAGCGGGATGCTCCCCAAAACTGCCTCCTCCCTGCTGTCTGGGGGACCCCAAAAGGAAGGGGGGATTAATGGGCTGCCGCTCCCTGCCCCGCTCCCCACAGCGCCCCCTGCCGGGGCAGGGCAGGGCTGGGGCAGCAGGGAGCTCCCCCCCCCC